TCTTGATCCGTCCACCCCTCCCCTATTTTCTCCCTCTCTTGATCCGTCTACCCCCTCCCCCTTCTTTCTCCCTCTCTTGATCCGTCTACCCCCTCTTTAAATTAAAGAAATGTCTATCAGGTTTGAAATGGATTTTTTCATGATGAAAATAGCAAAAATTTCTGAATAGAATTTTTTATATATCTTTTGAATATTTCAACTTCTTTCTCATTAATTAACTTATTCAGGATTTTTTGTACTTAATTATCAAAAATAGTAAGATTTTGTAACTTTTTTCTAAAAGATTTGACAAGTTTCCGCTGAGTTCAAAACAAATTGATAATAAATACAGATATATATATATAAAACGTTTTAAAAAGACATTCTAATTTTTTATCTCCAGAACTTTCGTAAAGGGAATGTTGATGTAATTGTCCCTCCATTTCAAGAGTTAAGTGCTCGAGTCTGAAAAGAAACCTTGACTAATGGATAATATAATGGAGTAATTCTTGTTTTTCGTTGCTAACAATGTATGACTTTAAATTGCAGTAATAGTGAGTTTTGTATGAACGCAGCAGACAATATTTATCTGATTTCAAAATAGAAAATACGACAGTATCTTTCTTATTTTTAATTCTTAAAAGGTTCCATTTAAAAAATACTGTTTTATCTGTAATACAGATTTAAGAATTATAAGAATAAAAAAATCCATTTTTCTATCTTTCTTTTAACTTTTATCGGTTTTAATGTTTTAACTCTTTTTCAGATAAAAGATGTTTTGAAGAATAATGAGTTGTTGTTGTAACAACAAAGTGGAGGATGAGGAGGTGGTCAATTTTTTTATAATATATTGTATCGGCATTTCATATAGAAAAGTAAAGCATTGGAAATACTGGGATTGGTTTCCGCCTCATCATTGGCTATATTTGAATACTACGATTGGTTTCCACCTCATCATTGACTATATTTGAATACTGGGATTGGTTTCCGCCTCATCATTGACTATATTTAAATACTGGGATTGGTTTACGCCTCATCATTGGCTATATTTGAATACAGGGATTGGCTTCCGCCTCATCATTGGCTATATTTGAATACAGGGATTGGTTTCCGCCTCATCATTGGCTATATTTAAATAAATGTTTAAAAGTACGGCATTTAAAAAGTGATTTTCGTCGTTTCCACACTAGATTAAAGCTGACGACCGTTAGGCTCAAGTTTTGACTTTAAATACTTCAATGAAAATGAAAACACCTCCAATTCTGGAATGTAAACAGATCCATTTCACTTAATTAGTTGGGTTTTAAGCTATAATGTTAAATTTATTTTCTTTATAATTGAATAAAATACTCTTGCTTAAAAATCGTCTTTCTATTCCTCAGTTTTATGGGTCTCACTGTCCTGCTAACATTATCATCTTAAAATCAAATTAATTACATTTTTATATATTTTCATATATTTCTATCATCTAGATATATAAAAGTTGAAACATATATTTTTATTTTATATGTATACGCAGCATTTAATGTACTTGTACATCCAGCATGCTTTTGTCTAGTTTACAAGAAGTATTTTACTGTACTGTACAGTGTATATAACCCTGTATTGTACAGGAGGAGGAGCTGGAGGGACCGATGGAGAATAGAAGTTGTACAGATGTTATTTTCTTGATTCTCTTCATAGCGTACATTATTGGAATGGTTAGTATACAATTTCATTCATTAACTAGGACTTGAGCCACGTGGTTTATTTAAGAAACTACTTGCACATACACCCATGAAACCAATTCAAATATTAATATCAAATCAAAAGACGTCACAATACGAAGCATATCGTCACAAAACATGTCAAACGACAAAAAATACCAAGATTAGATATAAAACATATCAAACAAAAAATATATCTAAGCATAAAAAATATCAAGATACAAAACACATCCACATGAAAACTTACCAAACAAAAAATATATCTAAGTAGAAAAAATATCTGAGGAAAACACATTTATTAAACAGTTAATATCTCACATAGTTAGAGAAAAAATGACCGTAAAAATCAAAATACAAAACATATCCAAATGCAAGAAAAAATCATAATTCAAAATTGGCAATTGTTCCTCTGAGAGCGAACGTCAGTTGCTTTTGCGCTTTCACTTTCCCAGTCTTGATGGATCCATGATTTTTGAGATTTTTTATTAAACTTCCCGGATTTTGTTCTTTCCACATTTTAGAAAATAAGAAGAAAAGGAAGTCTCAAAAAAATCTGTCGGAATGTTTTCTTTNAGAAGAGGCGTTAGATGGCAGTCATAATGCATGCTCAACAAATATAGCATGCCGTGCCAGTACGATTACAGCCTATATAGCTGGGCGTACCAGATTCGATAAAGCAGTCTTTTTAATCTATTTTATGACCTAAAAACCTTTCTAAACAAACAACTTTGAAAAAAAGAACTTGAAACAAATTGCCCTGTGATTATACTGTATTATTGTAATGTACAATATGTATTTTGTGAATATGTATCTCAGCGCATTTTCTTTAGCTGTGATTAAAATCATGTTAGATACATATGAGTAAGTTGTGCTTAAAAGGCTATGTCTATTCGATGAAAAAGATTAAAATATTTCAGATAATTCTTTTCGGATATGGAGTAGCGACAGGGGATCCAAACAGAATCATCAGGCAGAAAACCAAACTAAAAACATTTATTATTTTTATACATTTTTTAAGATTTACCTCCTTCCAAATTAAATTTGCACAGCTCCAAAAAAATCTGAATGTTTATGAAAAGAATTTGCGCGTTGTTCTATCAATTCTATAGTATGTTTTAAATCATAAATTGATTTTGATATATTTATATATTTCACAATTTTAAGTCGGAAAACTCTTATTTCCTAAAACACTAGATCATTTACCAACATATCATACTGTTAAATTATCACTATCAGAGATGGATAAAAGCCGCAATGCCCAATACCCATGTTTGGTTTGATTTGAAGCGGATATGACGTTGCTGGTGACACATGTGGCGCAAAGAACCCGGTTTTGGTGGATGTACCGTACAGTGGGAAAGATCTGACTGGGAAAGGGTAAATACAAACTAACCGAGGGGGTTTAAAATACCATTTAATTGTAAATTTAAAAGTATTAACATACCTTAACAAAAATCTGCATTTTTCCCTTGTCTACAAGAGACTAGAAAGTGTAGATCTAAAAGAGAAGAACAGAAAACAGATGAATGATCAGATAAAAATAAGATACAGTGGTCGGAGAAAAATTTTTTTTTGCACTTTTTAAATTTTGTTAAAAAAATTTAATTCAAAAAAGAATTTAAAAAAAATATATTTACAAAGTTTGAGCTTTAAAATCATTAATATTTTTTATTTTCTGCAAGTTTCATGCAATTTTAAGCAGAAAAAAATAACGAACGTTGCTGTATTTTTAAAAAGTTTATCCGTTCTTTTTTTCAACCGTTGATTTTTTAAAAAGAACTGCTCTTCGTTACCGATCTAAAGTTCAATGACTTTGGCCGTTCGTTAACGAACTATTTTAAAATATATTCTAAATTAATCCTTTTCCAGGTTACTGTTCATAGATCTGGTTCGAACAGCACAAATTCAGGGAGACGCCACCCTATCTTCATACCTGAAAAACCTATCCTTACCCAACACAGATCTGACCAGCACGCTAGTAGATAAAATTCAGTTCTGTATAGAGGGCATGAACCTAGGTAATTACTGTGCTAGTAGATAAAATTCAGTTCTGTATAGAGGGCATGAACCTAGGTAATTACTGTGCTAGTAGATAAAATTCAGTTCTGTCTAGAGGGCATGAACCAAGGTAATTTCTGTGCTAGTAGATAAAATTCAGTTCTGTCTAGAGGGCATGAACCTAGGTAATTACTATGCTATTAGAAAGAATTCAGCTTTGCTGCATGTGCCTGGGTAATTACTACGCTAGTAGATAAAATTCAGTTCTGCCTTGAGGGCATGAACCTAGGCAATTAATAACAACACAGATAGACCATTAGATGTCGTCCTCTCAAGATTCGGTTTTTTTTTGTTCACAATAACCCGGAGGAAGACGCCCAAAAGAGTTCCGATTCAACGCTGCCCGCGCGGAACTTCTTTGGGCTTCTGCCTCAGGGTTATTGTGAATGAAAAACCCCTAAATTCTAAATAGACGACATCTAGTGTTCTATCTGTGTTGTTTTTAACTTATGTTTCCAATCATCATTCTGTCTGAAAACATGAATAAAAGAGTATCCACGTTTAAATTACTTGGTATTACAGTGAGAATCAGAAAACTCTGGAAAAGTGAGACAACTTTTTGACTTATATATAACTTATAAAATGAGACCGAGTAATTGTACAGCAGACTCATTTCACTGAACAAGTTATTTTATTAGTTATTGTTAAACTATTTTTTCAATTGTAACATCATAAAATACACTTAATAATGACTTTAATTTCGCGAAAATGCGAAATGTGAAAATAATTTCACGAAATGTCTGATGTCTCCTAATCGTTCTTAAATCTATATCTATATTTTGTGTTAATCCATCAATTGGGCTCGCAACCTGTTCGCTAAAATTTTGCATTTGTTTTTAACAATTCTGTATTTTTCGCGATTTTTTTTATAGTTTCCATTTTTTTGCGAAATTTTCGAATTTTTTGCGGTCGAACGAAATGCGAAAATTAAGCAAAATGGTCGCTAATTTTTTTTGCAAAAAATGCTAAATTTTCGCGAAACGATTTTTCCTTTTCGTTGGAAACCCTACGGCACCACATTTTCTGGTTCTCATTGAATTAAATTGAAGCAGGGGCCATTCTTATTTTATTTTGGAAAAAAGATTTTCTTCAATTCATGATAATTGGACGTAGATAATGATATTAAACTAATTTTTTCATTGAATCAATTAATCCTTAAAAGCATAAAAATTTCCAAAAATATTAACATTTAAAAACATTGGTGAAATGCGCTTAATTTTTTATTTCCAGATGTTAAATTAAATGTACTTAATTTCTAAAAATAATGAAAAAAAACCTTTTAGTCTTTATAGATAAATGTATTTAGTATATTTTTCCCCATTTTGGAATTTTTTTCAAACGCATTTTGGCCATTTTAACCTCTTGAGTGAAACGGGCGAGGGCGGAAGAAGGGGGAAAATATGATGCACACTTTTTTAAAATCTTTTTTTCTAGGTGGGGAATATCCTCCCCTTTCCTCTCCCCTCACATAAAGCCGCCTGTAGGGCTCCATGAGGTCCCACAAAAATTTTGGGCCCGATCGGTTCAGCCGTTTTGACGTTTATTGGATACAAACAGACAGACAGACAAACAGACAGACAAGCCAAATTTATATATAGATTTAAACTATTGGGAAATAGGCCAAATTTTTTATGTTTTCAGCTTCTATGCTGAGATGAGCCCTAAAAATTAATAAACGATGCAATAAACCTACTTTAATATTTTATTTTGAACTCCATCAATTTGACCGAAAATTGGAATAAACGTGTAATGCCCAAATAGTTGCTCCAGTTCAGTGAACGGAAAATGTCGTCTCCTAAGATAGATCGACAAAAACCTAATATGACGTCACTCTGTCTCTCACCTCTTTAATCAGTGACGTCATATGAGGTTTTTATCTATCTCTGCTAAGGAGACGACATTTTCCGGAAATTGTAGTGCATCCAGAGTGACCAACCTTATTATACAACCTTGGTTCGATGTCGAGCAGTTGAGCGCTTTAATTACAAATTTGACTCTGATTGAAGATTAAATAGCTTGAGTGATTTTCAAATATTTCATTATCAAACGATGGTTTTGCTTCATTTAAGCTTATATATTTTATAATTTTTCACAGTGTAAGGAAAAGCAAAGTTATAGAAATTAAATTTAGTTGTTGCGTATGTTTTCAAAGCCTTAAAACCAAAAAAAATGCTTTATTTATAAGCCTAGAAAACTAAATCAGTAGAATAAAAAAATTGGTTTTTTTTCACCTTGTATTCAGGTGGAAGTGTAAACACAACCAGCAGAAGAAAAAGAGAAACCATTTTGAGGTAATCCATTAAAAAAAAAACTTATTTTTTTTCTCTAAACCTGCTCTCAAAAATATTTTCAAAACGTGATGATGATGTATTTTATAATCGAAATATTGAAAATATGTGAAAATAAAGTTATTTTGTATTTACGTCCTAAAAATAGTCACCATTTCAATAAAAACTTTTAATTTTATATAAAAGGCACGTTAACTTCTCTATGATTTCTCGCAACACAAGCATAAAGAAATTTAGCCTTTGCAACAAACTCTAATTTATTCTTATTCCTATATCTTTGCAACCCAATGTCGTAGACCTTAGATATTTCAAACCATTAATTCTATTTCGTTAAATAGTCTGAAAAGTTTAAAATATCAAAGGTTTACACTATCAGGTTGCAAGGATAATGGGATTAGAAAATTTAAGACCCTTTGATTAGTTCAGAGATTCAAGGCATGGGCACAATATCCACAACAGAAACTTTTAGTTTGAAGCGATTAAGTACTTCTCTAAATCCGAGAAAACAGTTGACTAAAGATTTTTGAAACTTTTCCACCCTGTATCCTCAAAGATATACAAAAAAGTAAAGCCATTGCATTTACAGGGTGGTGAGTTAAAAAAAAGCGGCGTCTGGTGCAAAATTGTATCTTTTTTGTGCAACGCTTTTTTTTGAGTTGTATGGTATTTTTAAAAATATTGTTTGGAATTTTTTTTTTGTACTCCGATGGGCCAAACAAAAATCCGCGAAATTTTTTTCTTTAAATTCAAATGTTCAGAAATGCAAAAATGTGTATTTATATGATTTTTATCAAATTCTGAAATTTTATCAATAATGAAACAATGAATCACAGAAAATTCGGAAAATTGTAAAAAGAAAATTCGCAATTTACCCACTTTTGCAGATTTTTTTTCCAAAAATCTCAAAAGCATAAAGAAAGATCAAATAGATCAGTTTTTGCAAAGCTATGTACTATGTAGTAGCGGAATCATCATGTCGACTTGACTTCTCGAGGAAAACATCAAAATAAGGAAAAAATTGCATCAACTTAAGCTTTCTTTTTAAAATTAAGATCTCATAAAAAATGTAAAATAAAATAAATAGATAAAAAAAGATGATTATACTAAATGGCTTTCACCGATTTCGGCCAAACTAAAAACCTTAAAACAATATTTAAACCTTAAAATGTCGATGAATGGTAACTTGGTATATCAAAAAAAATTTAATCTAAAAATTCTGAAAATTTAATTTTTTCCCCTCCCGGATATCAATTACTATAATTTTCTTATCGTACTGAATTATTATAAAATTAGCATATAAACCGATTATACCGTTATCTTGAAATCTTATAAATGTATAAACTTAAAAAACAATAATTTCTCTGCATAAAGAACAAATATTATTTTGCTAAATATTTATATTTTTATCAAGTTTTCAAAACTTTTTTGTAGAATTTCTTAATTGAATCTTATTTTTAAATATAATAAAAGAATCGGGTGCTTGCCACAAACTCTGATTTTCTGAATAGTATATCTTTGCATCCAAATGTCGTATACTTAGATGTTTCAATTTTCAAACTAATGAATTCTGTTTGATCAAATAATATAAGTTTGAAATATCAAAGATTTTCACCATCAGGTTGCAAAAACATATACTCGTCGTATTTTTTAGATGTTCTGTTTTCGAATTTAATGAATTTAAGCCGCGTGTCAAATCCTCCAAAAATCAGTTTCAATTGAGCGCCGGCTTAAATCTTGAAAAATTGAATACAATATATTAAGTAAAACCAACCATACTTGAGCCTCTGGGCCTGGCCCCCAGATATTAATAATATATTTTGATGATCTAAAAATCATTAACCACGTTAAACTGAAGTTAAGAAGATGAGTTTTTGCCACAAACTCTGATTTTCTAATCTCTATATCTTTGTAATCCAATGTCGCAGACCTATAGATATTTCGAACTATTAATACTTATAGATAAAATAATCTAAGTCTGAAATATCAAAGGTTTGAACCATCAGGTTGCTAAGATATTGGGATCAGAAGATTTGAGTTTGTGGCAAAAACTCAATTGATTTGTTTCAATTAGAACTTTTCTTATTGTATTTTGACATATAACCGGATAACTTTAAGAGCTTCTAGAGCTCCCACAATTTTATCAGTAATGTCGAATAATATTTGACCCTCTTCTAGGTTACAGTGTACCATTTTGTTCTGTCTAGGTTACAGTGTACCATCTTGTTCTGTCTAGGTTACAGTGTACCATCTTGTTCTGTTTAGTATGTTCCCATTGTAAGTCGACTACTGGATAATTCTACCGAAGTTGTTTTACTTCTGGGACAAAACAGCAGTTTTAAGATTTACAAAACATCAAAATGTAAGTTAATGTTTAACGAAGAAATTTAGGTTAAATCAAGTTGAAAAAAGTTTTTTTCCGACATTTTTTTATTCCTGCATTGTACTTAACATCATTTCTTTTATACCTGCATTGCACATAACAGCCTTTTTTATACCTGCATTGTACTTAACAGCCTTTTTTATACCTGCATTATACTTAACAGCCTTTTATATACCTGTATTGTACTTAACAGCCTTTTTTATACCTGCATTGCACTTAACAGCCTTTTTTATACCTGTAATTGCACATAAAAGCCTTTTTTATACCTGCATTGCTGTACATAACATCATTTTTTATACCTGCATTGTACTTAACAGCCTTTTTATAACTGCATTGCACTTTACAGCCTTTTTTATACCTGCATTGCACTTAACAGCCTTTTTTTACCTTCATTGTACTTAACAGCCTTTTTTTATACCTGCATTGCACTTAACAGCCTTTTTTAATCCATGCATTGCTGTACTTAACATAATTTTTTTTATACCTGCATTGTACTGAACAGCCTTTTTTACACCTGCATTGTACTTAACAGCCTTTTTTATACCTGCATTGCACTTAAAAGCCTTTTTTATACCTGCATTGCACTTAACAGCCTTTTTCTTATACCTGAATTGAATTTAACATTATTTTTATACCTGCTACTTAACAGCCTTTTTCTTATACCTGAATTGCACTTAATAGATTTGAATCTTAGTTTGAGAAAGCGTTATTATTCTATGTCCACGTAGGAAACTCGGGGAAGGAATTGAGTCTTAGGCACAAACTCAAATTTCAAATCCCTTTATCTTTGTAGCCCAATGTCGTAGGCCTTAGATATTTCAAACTATCAATTCTGGTAGAATAAATGATCAAAGTTTAAAATATGAAAGGTTTACACCATGCATCTAGTTGTTAAGATATAGGGGTTATAAAGTTTGAGTTTGTGACAAAGACTCAATTCCTTTAGAGAGGAATTGAGTCTTTGCCACAAACTCTGATTTTCTAATCACTTTATCCTTGCATCACGGTTTTGCAGACCTTCGAAATTTCAAACTATGATTTCTGCTAGATTACATAATCTAAGTTTAAAACATCAAAGGTTTACATGATCAGTTAGCAAAGATACAGGGATTTTTACATTTGTGTTTGTGGCAAAGACTCAATTCCCCAGAGCATAAAACACGTGGACTTTCACTATTTTGGCAAAAATTAGTTTTAGTTCTATTAATCCGTTTGATATACAGATTAGTTTTCAAAGTTCAAAGGTTCCAACTGCAAAATCTTGATGGTATGGGTTATCACAACGTTATACCGACATTGGCTTAGTTTTCCCTAAACTAATTTTAACCCCCCCCCCCTCCCTTCATTTTCTCTTTGGTATCAAGCAAGGCTTCTTTAACTGCTTCAATGTTATATTTGATTGTTATCAGTCAGATCTAGAAAATTCGCCGATTTGTCTGTTTTTACTTTTCACAACTGAATTTGGAAAATTAACCCTATAAAGGCTAGGGGGTCTGAATCTATGTATAGCCTGGGGGAGGGGTGTTTGGCGCCCCCCCCCCTCTTGAAAAAGACCTTAGAGAATAGGTATAGGGTTGAAATGCATGTTCATAGCCCAACTCTCATAGAAAAAAAATTATACCGATAACTTTAATACTTTGGGTGCTAGGGAGGATTGAAGAAATGCCTAAAAAAGGGTCAAACATGTTTGCTTTTTTTGTTTTAAACAAATATCACACTGTGACACATGTTTCTACATGCATTTTCAAGGGCTTTTCAAAAATATAGTTTTTAGGTCTGTAGCTTTAGTCACAAAAAAGTTATGGGCTATTTTAGAAATTTTTTTTTTCACAGACAGGACTTTTTTCCGCCCTGTACCCTACCCTGTAAATTAAAAAAAAAATAACAAAATATCCTTTAAATTACTATTCATTAAAAGCCAAAAGTCACAAAATTTCACGGTGATAGTGTCAAAAATGAGAGTGCTAGGACCAAAAAAAAAAAAAAAAAAAAGCCTGTTTAGGGAATATTTGAATACTACGATTGGTTTCCGCCTCATCATTGACTATATTTGAATACTGGGATTGGTTTCCACCTCATCATTGGCTATATTTAAATACTGGGATTGGTTTCCGCCTCATCATTGGCTATATTTAAATACTGGGATTGGATTCCGCCTCATCATTGACTATATTTAAATATTGGGATTGGTTTCCGCCTCATCATTGGCTATATTTGAATACTGGGATTGGTTTCCGCCTCATCATTGGCTATATTTAAATACTGGGATTGGTTTACGCCTAATCATTGGCTATATTTAAATACTGGAATTGGTTTCCTCCTAATCATTGGCTATATTTAAATACTGGGATTGGTTTACGCCTCATCATTGGCTATATTTGAATACTGGGATTGGTTTCCGCCTCATCATTGGCTATATTTGAATACAGGGATTGGTTTCCGCCTCATCATTGGCTATATTTGAATACAGGGATTGGCTTCCGCCTCATTATTGGCTATATTTAAATAAATGTTTAAAAGTACGGCATTTAAAAAGTGATTTTCGTCGTTTCCACACTAGATTAAAACTGACGACCGTTAGGCTCAAGTTTTGACTTTAAATACTTCAATGAAAATGAAAACA